CCCGATGGACCCACGGGAGCCATCTATAAGCCCCGCTTCGTCCCAGTTGGCTGCGCAGATAACGGCCACCAACTTGTCGCGGTCGATCGCCCATCTTGGTGGTCGGGCCGCCCCCTTGCTGCGCCCTGAGAGCACCCCCTGGGGAGTAACGACGAGGCGGAGCTCTGTACCGGTGGTCAGAGCCGGTCTCCGCCTCAGTTGCCACTCTCCATCCCCGGACCTGTCGGGCGGCCGCGGGGAAAGTCCATGTCAGATCGATGATCGACTTCCCCTGTCACCCGACAAAGGTGATCTCCCGGCCCCTGTTTAGCAAACTAAGGCCGGGGGACGCAGCTCACTCCTGGAGATCCGCGCCGCGGGGGCACGTCCCCGGGGACCGCCACATTTTGTTGCGGGCGTTAAAGTCCCCGAAGACAATGACCGGCCTAGGGAGGTGCCTCAACATAAGCGCCTCCAGCCGGTGCAGCAGTGCCCCGAAATCAGCGCGGGTCCAGGAGGGCGGGGCGTAACACCCGACCACATCCATGGGCGCCCACTCGACCGCGACGTCGAGTCGCGATCAGTTTGATCGGAGGGGAGTCTCGGCTGGTCTGCTCAAAAATCGCCACCGAGCACCTACCCCTAAGGTCCCGGAAGTCCCCCAGTATGGAGGACGAATTCTCGGGAACCGAGTAGGGCTCGGCGGCGACTCCAATCCCAGCGCCGCGCTCGTGCAGTCTCTGGACGAACAGGTCCTGAGCCGCACAAGCGCGGCGCAAGTTGGACTGGAAAAGAAGCGTCCCTATCGTGTCTCTACAACCTCCATCTTCTCCAGGCCAACACCCGTCTCAGGGTTTGCAAATGGGGGAGCAGGACCTACTTTCCCCGCCCCCCTCACTCGCCGTCCTTCCCTTGTCACCGCTCCCCCTCCCCGTCCTCTGTCGAGACTTACCAAGCCTCTGGGGGAGCGGTGGCTCAAAATTCCTACTTGTTGGGAAGGGACCTGTCCCTTCCCGCGGTAGAGCGCCGCCATCAGCGGACGCCGCCCCCCCCCCCGCGGTCCGTCGGAACGGGTTTTTCTCCTCCTTTATTGGGGAGAGGCCCGCTACCCTTCCTAGCGGAGGGCTTTGGTGGGGCGTAGCTTGCCCCCTTGCTCCCCTTCTTTTTCCCTCCGCCCCTCATTGGGCAGAGGGAAGTGTCCATACGATGGCCACAGGGCCTCTTGGCGTCACGACAGACCTGGCACTCAACGGGTTCGCCGTACTCCGCCGCCTTGTGGCCATCCCGACCGCAACGGTAACATAATCCGCTGCGGTCCGTCGCCGAAGTGCAGGTTACCCTCACGTGGCCCCACTGCATGCAGCGATAGCATTGCAGCGGGCGCCCCGCGAGAGCCTCCACGCAGCCGGTGGCCCACCCTACACGAAGGCGGCCACCGTCCAATACCCTCTTCGCCGAGGCCAACGGGCACTGCACATTGTACTCAGCCCGTTGGCCTTGGCACGGATCGCCCCCGCCCTTATATCTTCGGGCCCGCACCCCCCAAACGACGCCACGGCGGCGACGACATCCTCCGTCGTGACAGCGTCGTCCAGGTCACGGACCCGGAGTTCGGCTCTCTTCGCCGGTCGCGCAATGCGCACGCCTTCCTCTTCGGCGAAGAGGGTCCTTATCTTGGCGGCCAAGCTCTCGGCCTTAACTTGTCCCTCGGGACCCGAGACCTCCAGCACCAGGGCACCAGTTGCCGCCCTCTTGGTGCGGAGGTCCCCGATTTCAAGGTCCGCCAGATTAATTCCCTACCTCGCTCGGCGCATCATGTCGGCGTACGTGCCAGCGGGGCACGTGACCGACACCGCGGCCGAGCGACGAGGCTTGGGGAAGGGTGGGAAAGACTTCTTGCCCCCCCCCCCCCCCC